TTCCATGGAGCAAGCTCGGCTTTGTTATGCAAATAATAAAAGTCTAATTTTTGGATTCACAAGTTCCAGTCTCTTGAGAAATATTTTTGAGTTGACTACTTTTGAGTCAAATATTTCTACGACATATTTGGCGAGCTTTGCCAGGAGTCGACAACAGGGGCCAGAGACGGTGTACATCTGCAGTTGTGAAACGGCTTGGACGGACCATACAAACAAAAGCGGACACTTAAAAAAAAAAAGGTAAGACAAGTTCTTACTTATATAGTATAAAGTTTGTGTGGTTCGATCCGGGGCACGGCCTCAGCTGCAGAGTTGACTACTTTTGAGTCAAATATTTCTACGACATTTTCTCGTCTCCTAACTCTGCTGCTGCCTCCGCCGCATTGTTCTCAACACCAATATGCTGGTTAACTTTGATTTTATGGACAAAGCAACATGGTCTTGGAAAATGCGCCAATTCAATAGCCACCACCGACGTGTTGCAGAACCGCGGACACCAACCACTATCCAATGCGGGAGAAAGAGCAATTGTTATAAAATAATATCATTTTTATTTGTGTTGCACCATTCTTACATAATATAACCATATACAATTTCAGTAGCACATGTCTTAAGACTGATGGACTGTGCCATCCCAACAGCCTCCACAATGGATCAGTCCACTCAGACAGGCGCGAATCAGACAGGTGTCTTCTACACCATGATTATTATTTTTATAAATGTTTTGCTACTGCTTGACTAAAGAAATATCGGTCAACCAACAGCCTATCGACCAAACAATCGACCAGTCGACTAAATGGGGTCAGCCCTTATGTATAGTCACATGTATTTAGCGCGTCTTACCTAGATATGGTCGCATCAGGTTTACCATCAGAGGGGAATGCCTCGTCTCCCACAAAGACATATGGGCTCAGTGTTTGGCCCCCGGCAAGCACTCTGGCCTTGGTAGCGGCAGCTGGCCTGCAATGAGTAGGGAGCCGGAATTGGGAGCCGAACTTGCTTTGTGAGAAGATTCCCGCATCTCCCTCCCGACCATATGAGCCCACGTCAATCATGGTGAAGCGGTACTTTGCGTCGCAGACTGCTATCAGGACCAATAAGAAAAAAGCCCTTGTAGTTGTTGTAGTAGTAGTACTCGCTTGCCGAGTTTTACGGAGCTTGGATCCGAATATGTTTTCCGTCGACAGCTCCTGCACAAAATTGATAATTCCAGCGCTGCTGAAGCAAGTCGTCAAATCTGGCAACCGACATCCGAAAGTGTTGAACATGTCTTTCCTCGTCAATGCTTCGCATAGGTTAGACAAGATACATGTATTCTCCATTGTCCACTCTTGCTGTGTTCAGTGGATGAACTTCTTGCCATTTTCTCCGTCGTTTTTTTCTCTCCTCCTGAGTAGTAAGAGCAGTTTAAACTCTTGCTGTTCAAGCTCTAGCAATTGCAATTCATGAGAGACATGTTTGCTTCTGCATCTGTGGCTAAAAAGTAGCGTTGAAAAAGCATAGAACACCAGACTAGCCAGACATTTAGCTAGCTAATATTTGTGTAAACAAAAGGCATATAACACCGGATCAGAAAGTTCAAATGTCGTCACTAGCTACTAGGCTTGGGCAATATACAGTTTGTACCGTATACCGGGGTATTTCAAAATACAGACAGTATGACTTTCAATACCGTTTATTTATTTTTTAAATAATATTATTATTAAATGATATCCTGCTCAGTGCTGCAGCTATGCATTTGGTTTGCTAACTTGCTAGCTAAACGACTAGATGTCAAGAAGAAGCTTCTTGGTTACAGCAGAGACATTCAATCCCCTCCTGGATCAAGATCCCTGTTGCCTAAATAGTTTTGTGCGTCCCCCAAAAAATTTACAGAAACGGTATGACAGTTATGAAAATCTGGATACCGCCCAACCCTACTAGCTAAAGTCAGAGAGTGCCATGTATGGAACGCTGTTTGGGTCTTTCCATGTCAAAAAAGATACATGTTAAATAACACTATTTGAAGCGTCAAATAAGCTTTTAATTTGACATGTCAAATAATACAATCCTATTATAGAATGTTGTGTGTGCTGAATTTGCATGTGCAAGCCAAACGCCACCACTACAATTAGTAGCACTGTCAAAGCTGTACTAAAAAAAGTCTGCAAACAAGCACACTCCGACCACGAGCGATGTGTTTACAATACCGCGTTGGTAATAAGGAATTAATTGTTTGACCGAATGGGAAAACATCTATGTGAGCATTTGATCAAACGAGCAGGATCAAAAATGTTTGCAAATACCTTTGATACAGATGTTATTAGCAACTTCTGGGGTAGCTAGCTAGCTAGCTAGCTTTAGCTTGGTACCTCGCTAGCACCAATGCAACTAGCCTGAAAACAATGACCAGTAGAAACTGCAGTCATTTTCAATATTCTTAGCAATGATTTAGGAATCCATGTGAGTAAGTATTAGCTAGGTAGCCACTTGTTGTTCACTTATTGAAATTGAACTTCAGTTCATGAAAATATCTAGCTAGCCAGCTACTTAACCCTGTTGACCAAAGCTAACGTTATAAGCAGCCAGTAAGCTTCATCTATTACGCAAATATTAGCATTGTAGCTCTTATCGCAGGACTGTGACTGTGTGAAATCACCTCCCAAGTCAGCCTATTGTGCGTACTGACATTCATATTGCACTGTACAGCCCTACCTAAGGATTGGGGATCAATGAAATGGGGTATCAGTCTACTTCACCCAAGTACTTTTTTCCCCAGCATCATCCTCAGAGTTATCAGACACCAAAACATCCACGTTGTATTGTTTTTCCTCTGGAATAGTGTTCAATACACATAGTAGGTTGACTGGTACAATACATGTGGCTCAATTCACAGTGGTTTCAGAGTCCCGCAATAAGAGCTACGACGCTAATGTTCTCTGGGTGTCACTGAGTAGACTGATACCCCATGTCATTGATCTATTATCCATAGGTAAGGCTGTACAGTGAAATAAGTATGCCCCCAATGCAATTCTAAAGTCTAATACATACAGTGTGATTTCAACAGATTTTTGTCAAATTAACAAATTGTCTTTTGTTGAATTTATATAACATTCCAACCTCGTTTAGCATGATCTATTCAATTATGGCATAATTCCACTATTTGTATTAATTTGCATCACAGTCAATGACAGACTTTTATTTTGAAGGCTAACCGCAAATTCCACTATTGTGGCTAATCCTTATTGTGGCTAGCTTCACATAGGTGGGTCCGACCACTATTAATCAAATAAAAACAGTTTGATAAATTAGGGGTATTTTAGATGACACCTAGCTAGAGAGTTAGCTAGCTAACTATAGCTACTTAAACAGATGTCGTTCTGCTATGTTTTTGGAGAAGAACATTGGTTTGCATTCATCAGCTAGCTAGCTTTTTTGTTTGGGGAAGGGCATGTATACGTCTCGATAAATCGTTGTGACATACGAAACACGAGTGATAGTGTAATCAATATGTAATAACTACGTAAAAAATTAATGAACGTGTTAAATTATTATGTGACGTGCAGTCATATTCAGGTCCTGATTGGTCAACAAGCTTATGTGACGCTTCAGATAGTGTTATTTGACACGTCAAACAGTGTTATTGACACGCAAAGACCCAAACGGCCTTCCATAGCCACGGACCCTCTTGTTTGGTAAGCTACTCTGGCTATCCAAGCCCCATAGTGGATATACAAGGCGGACTTCCTCTCTGGGTGGAACACAACGTCTATGTGGACAAAAGTGATTGCTACCCCCCAAAAACCTGCCGCCGCCCCCTTGCACATGCATGCACGTCCATCGACGGAGTGAAGCTTGTAGCCACCTTAAGGCTTTGGAGTACAGACCACATCAGGCCAGAGCCTCCTACAGCCCAAAAGACCAACACATGACACAGCCAAGCCACAGCACACCACAGCACACCACAGCCATGCACTAACAAACCTCAATACCAGGGGGCAGCAAACAACACACACAGCACAGAGAGGAAGCTACTACACACATACCACACACACACACACAACTATCACACACACATCTAGCAGATCCAGGTAGGAGTCCCCCATAACCACAGATCTAGGATCAGATTAACCCACCCCTAATCCTAACCTTAACCATTAGGAGGATGAAAACATAATCTGACCCAATATCAGTGACCCCGGGCGTCGGGCCAGTAACCGAAAGGTCGCTGGTTCGAATCCCCGAGCCGGCAAGGTGAACAAAATATGCAGTTCTGCCTTTGAACAAGGCAGTTAACCCCGAACAACAACTGCTCCCTGGGCAACGACGACATGGACGTCGAGTAAGGCAGCCCCCGCACCTCTGATTCAGAGGGGTTGGGTTAAATGCATTAGACACATTTTGGTTGAATGCATTCAGTTGTGTAACTGACTAGGTATCCCCTTTCATTTCCCAGTTGTTAGGGGTTAGCAGTTCCCTACAGGGCAGGATAGGGCTGAAGGCCTAGTGTGAACCTCCCTCTCTCTCTCTGGAACATGGTGGGACAGGCCTTAGGAAGCAACTTTAGAAAGATTCAACCTGCTGTAACCATGGGCTGTCGGCTATTCCCATTCTCCACCCTTCGGCAGAAGTAGTACACACTTGGGGAGAAGGGTGTAGAATCGGGGCACAGGCACATACTGCCACCAGGGGGATAATGGGCCAATGATGTATATAAATCATTGGTGCTAGCACACACAGAATGGGATCAATGATATAGCTACCTCGCTAATAGTTATAAACTCTAGCAGACTAACACACTGATCCCACTATGTGTGACACCCCTCTAGCCCTTTACTGATCCCTAATACAGATGATCCCATTGAGTTTAAACATCACTTTTACAAGAGAGACCTGTCATGTCATGATCATAATCTAACTTGCCTGGAAACACAAGCTACACTGCAACATGGAATACAACCTGTAACACACGTTGCCGTGTTCTCCTATAGCTGGGACCGTGCGGTTCTGGGGAACTCACCAGGGTTGTGTATGCGGTCAAGCAGCTTGACCGAGCGGGCGCTGACCACTCCCCCGATGTGAACCAGGAAGCCGGGGGGAAAACAGGTCAACGTGAAGAAGGGGAACTCCTGAAAATACACAGGGTCAGAAAAAGTCTGGTTAGGGGTCAAACCTGTCTCCGTGACAGTAGAATGAAGGATTGGCGCGCTCAACCCCATCTTCATCATACAATATGGTGCAGGGTTGTAAGGGCATAAGATAGAAGAGAAAAACCCACACTGACTGAAAGAAGTACTAACATATTTAATTAATTTAGTAGCAGCAGCGGAGTAATCTGCTAAATGAGTTAGTGTTGGTTCTTCTCTTCTACCTCAGATACACAACTAGACAGAGGACAGGCAGGCAGAGAGTATACAACAGGCCTCAAGTCAAGGCCTGGAGGTCTGCAGTACTGCTGGTTGGCTTTTCTCCCTGCTAGTTAGTTCAATTGATTGATTATCACCAAGGTCTGAATCAGTCCCTGATTAGAGGGGGAAGGATGCAAACCAACAGGACTACTGATCTCGAGGTCTGGATTTGAATAACCCTGATATACAGTTTATACAATAACAGCATACCAGTAATACAATGCAGAGTTTAATTGAACATCTCATTGTGTAACAGAGAGTCAGCCTCCTGCTGTGACAGTCTGTAGTCAACCCAGTGTGTAAAAGGTGTGATCCAGGACAGGTGTCATCCAGATGATGGGGTAGTGAGTGGGACGGCAATCCCCCATGCAGAGTGAGGCTGTGTGTTTCAGACATGCCAATGTTATGGATATGAGGAACTGCTACAGCATACTGGTCTAGACCAGCAATTTCCTAACCTGAGTAATAGTGATATTGCCATGGTAACGGAGTGGAGCGTGCTTGTTACTATCGATCGGGGGGGGGGGGGACTAAGGCTGCATCTCAACAATCTACCTTTCTTCTCTCCTCTATCTGCACTGGTGACAAATGACAGAACTGAACAGGTAAAAGCATATCGCTAGTAGGTATCCTCCATGTTGCTTCTACCTGTCCTGTGTTAACAGATCAGTGCAGATGGAGAAGAGGAAGTTGCTGTAGACTTTTGAGAAACAGTCCAACTCAAGAGTAGAATCTCTGAGCAGAACCCAGACAGGAAAGAGAGGTTTAATAGAGGCATCCAGAACAGTGAGTGAGTGTGTGTGTGTGTGTGTGAGTGTGTGTGTGGGTGTGTGTGTGTGTGGGTGAGAGACATACCCTGGTGTTTACAAATATACCAGAGGATGAGGCTCCCTGAGAGAAAGAAGTGGTCAAGAGGATGGAGAAAGGGAACATTATTCAATCTTACATAATCATACTTCACCCTCACACACTCTTCACAATTACCCATTCACACAGCTAAATGCGGTATGGTGTGTGCGGTGTGTGTGCGTACCCTCTGCTCCAATGCTGATTGGGCCTGCTGTCTGAGGAGGGTCTTCAGAGGCCCTGCCTCTTTTCCAACGCTGCCCCCACTCCCCATCCCTGATAGGATGAGAGAACAACACTTCACCAATCACATCGCTTCATCACAGATAGCTGGCATTCCTCAAAAACCATAGGAAGTAAGTAAGTACCCTTGACAGGCCTTGGCTTGTGTGAGCCGGAACGCCTCGACAACCATGCAAATCCCATATTAATCCTATCCCTTAGACTACCAGGCTAATATCTATACTGAACAAAAATATAAACGCAACATGCAAAGTGTTGGTCCCATGTTTCAAGACCTGAAATAAAAGATCCCAGAAATGTTCCATACGCACAAAAATCTTATTTTGCTCAAATTTTGTGCACAAATGTGTTTACATCCCTGTTAGTGAGCATTTCTCCTTTGCCAAGATAATCCATCCACCTGACAGGTATGGCATATCAATAAACTGATTAAACAGCATGATCCTTAAACAGGTGCACCTTGTGCTGGGGACAACAAAAGGCCACTCTAAAATGTGCAGTTTTGGTCAAACAATGCCACAGATGTCTCAAGTTGAGGGAGCGTGCAATTGGCATGCTGACTGCAGGAATGTCCAACAGAGCTGCAGCCCGTCTGGTGTTCAACCTTCCCAAGTTCTCTCACGTCACCCCGCTCCATCCACACACTCCACTGGCTTCCAGTTGAAGCTCGCATCTGCTACAAGACCATGGTGCTTGGGGAAAAAAGGATTACAAATTGAGAAATAAATAAATAAAAATAACTATAAAATAACAAAAAAAATACAATAAAATAAAACGAGGGAAAAAAACTATATATATATATATATATATACACTGCTCAAAAAAATAAAGGGAACACTTAAACAACACATCCTAAATCTGAATGAATGAAATAATCTTATTAAATACTTTATTCTTTACATAGTTGAATGTGCTGACAACACAATCACAGAAAAATTATCAATGGAAATCAAATGTATCAACCCATGGAGGTCTGGATTTGGAGTCACCCTCAAAATTAAAGTGGAAAACCACACTACAGGCTGATCCAACTTTGATGTAATGTCCTTAAAACAAGTCAAAATTATGCTCAGTAGTGTGTGTGGCCTCCACGTGCCTGTATGACCTCCCTACAACGCCTGGGCATGCTCCTGATGAGGTGGCGGATGGTCTCCTTAGGGATCTCCTCCCAGACCTGGACTAAAGCATCCGCCAACTCCTGGACAGTCTGTGGTGCAACGTGGCGTTGGTGGATGGAGCGAGACATGATGTCCCAGATGTGCTCAATTGGATTCAGGTCTGTGGAATGGGCGAGCCAGTCCATAGCATCAATGCCTTCTTCTTGCAGGAACTGCTGACACACTCCAGCCACATGAGGTCTAGAATTGTCTTGCATTAGGAGGAACCCAGGGCCAACCGCACCAGCATATGGTCTCACAAGGGGTCTGAGGATCTCATCTCGGTACCTAATGGCAGTCAGGCTACCTCTGGCGAGCACATGGAGGGCTGTGCGGCCCCCCAAAGAAATGCCACCCCACACCATGACTGACCCACCACCAAACCGGTCATGCTGGAGGATGTTGCAGGCAGCAGAACGTTCTCCACGGCGTCTCCAGACTCTGTCACGTCTGTCACGTGCTCAGTGTGAACCTGCTTTCATCTGTGAAGAGCACAGGGCGCCAGTGGCGAATTTGCCAATATTGGTGTTCTCTGGCAAATGCCAAACGTCCTGCACGGTGTTGGGCTGTAAGCACAACCCCCACCTGTGGACGTCGGGCCCTCATACCACCCTCATGGAGTCTGTTTCTGACCGTTTGAGCAGACGCATGCACATTTGTGGCCTGCTGGAGGTCATTTTGCAGGGCTCTGGCAGTGCTCCTCCTGCTCCTCCTTGCACAAAGGCGGAAGTATCAGTCCTGCTGCTGGGTTGTTGCCCTCCTATGGCCTCCTCCACGTCTCCTGATGTACTGGCCTGTCTCCTGGTAGCGCCTCCATGCTCTGGACACCATGCTGACAGACACAGCATACAGTGGGGGAAAAAAGTATTTAGTCAGCCAACAATTGTGCAAGTTCTCCCACTTAAAAAGATGAGAGAGGCCTGTAATTTTCATCATAGGTACAAGTCAACTAGGACAGACAAAATGAGGAAAGAAAATCCAGAAAATCACATTGTAGGATTTTTTATGAATTTATTTGCAAATTATGGTGGAAAATAAGTATTTGGTCAATAACAAAAGTTTCTCAATACTTTGTTATATACCCTTTGTTGGCAATGACACAGGTCAAACGTTTTCTGTAAGTCTTCACAAGGTTGTCACACACTGTTGCTGGTATTTTGGCCCATTCCTCCATGCAGATCTCCTCTAGAGCAGTGATGTTTTGGGGCTGTCGCTGGGCAACACAGACTTTCAACTCCCTCCAAAGATTTTCTATGGGGTTGAGATCTGGAGACTGGCTAGGCCACTCCAGGACCTTGAAATGCTTCGTACGAAGCCACTCCTTCGTTGCCCGGGTGGTGTGTTTGGGATCATTGTCATGCTGAAAGACCCAGCCACGTTTCATCTTCAATGCCCTTGCTGACGGAAGGAGGTTTTCACTCAAAATCTCACGATACATGGCCCCATTCATTCTTTCCTTTACACGGATCAGTCGTCCTGGTCCCTTTGCAGAAAAACAGCCCCAAAGCATGATGTTTCCACCCCCATGCTTCACAGTAGGTATGGTGTTCTTTGGATGCAACTCAGCATTCTTTGTCCTCCAAACACGACGAGTTGAGTTTTTACCAAAAAGTTATATTTTGGTTTCATATGACATTCTCCCAATCCTCTTCTGGATCATCCAAATGCACTCTAGCAAACTTCAGACGGGCCTGGACATGTACTGGCTTAAGCAGGGGGACACGTCTTGCACTGCAGGATTTGAGTCCCTGGCGGCGTAGTGTGTTACTGATGGTAGGCTTTGTTACTTTGGTCCCAGCTCTCTGCAGGTCATTCACTAGGTCCCCCCGTGTGGTTCTGGGATTTTTGCTCACCGTTCTTGTGATCATTTTGACCCCACGGGGTGAGATCTTGCGTGGAGCCCCAGATCGAGGGAGATTATCAGTGGTCTTGTATGTTTTCCATTTCCTAATAATTGCTCCCACAGTTGATTTCTTCAAACCAAGCTGCTTACCTATTGCAGATTCAGTCTTCCCAGCCTGGTGCAGGTCTACAATTTTGTTTCTGGTGTCCTTTGACAGCTCTTTGGTCTTGGCCATAGTGGAGTTTGGAGTGTGACTGTTTGAGGTTGTGAACAGGTGTCTTTTATACTGATAACAAGTTCAAACAGGTGCCATTAATACAGGTAACAAGTGGAGGACAGAGGAGCCTCTTAAAGAAGAAGTTACAGGTCTGTGAGAGCCAGAAATCTTGCTTGTTTGTAGGTGACCAAATACTTATTTTCCACCATAATTTGCAAATAAATTCATAAAAAATCCTACAATGTGATTTTCTGGATTTTTTTTTCTCAATTTGTCTGTCATAGTTGACGTGTACCTATGATGAAAATTACAGGCCTCTCTCATCTTTTTAAGTGGGAGAACTTGCACAATTGGTGGCTGACTAAATACTTTTTTTCCCCACTGTACCTTCTTGCCACAGCTCGCATTGATGTGCCATCCTGGATGAGCTGCACTACCTGAGCCACTTGTATGGGTTGTAGACTCCGTCTCATGCTACCACTAGAGTGAAAGCACCGCCAGCATTCAAATGTGACCAAAACATCAACCAGGAAGCATAGAAACTGAGAAGTGGTCTGTGGTCACCACCTGAAGAACCACTTCTTTATTGGGGGTGTCTTGCTAATTGCCTATAATTTCCACCTGTTGTCTATTCCATTTGCACAACAGCATGTGACATTTATTGTCAATCAGTGTCGCTTCCTAAGTGGACAGTTTGATTTCACAGAAGTGTGATTGACTTGGAGTTACATTGTGTTGTTTAAGTGTTCCCTTTACTTTTTTGAGCAGTGTATATATAAAACAAATGAAAAGTAAAAATATACTTAAAAATAAAAAATTAACAATAAAAAAAAAAAAAGAACAAATATAAGAACTAAAACTAAAAAAACAAGAAAAATTAAAAAAATAAGATTTGTAAAGTGGTTGTCCCACTGGCTATCATAAGGTGAATGCACCAATTTGTAAGTCGCTCTGGATAAGAGCGTCTGCTAAATGACGTAAATGTAAATGTAAAATAATTTAATGTTAATTTCTCTACCAAGCCACCAACATCATTTTAGAGAATTTGGCAGTACGTCCAACCGGCCTCACAACTGCACACCACATGTAACCACGCCAGCCCAGGACCTCCACACCTGGCTTTTTCACCCGCAGGATCATCTGAGACCAGCCACCCGGACCAGCCACCCGGACAGCGGACAGAATTTCTGCAAAAACTGTAAGAAACTGTCTCAGGGAAGCTCATGTGCGTGCACGTCGTCCTCACCAGGGTATTGGCGTCATAACTGACTTCAGTGGGCAAATGCTGATCTTCTATGGCCACTGGCATGCTGGAGAAGTGTGCTCTTCACGGATGAATCCCGGTTTCAACTGTACCAGGCAGATGGCAGAAAGCGTGTAGGCGTTGTGTGAGCGAGCGGTTCGCTGATGTCAATGTTGTGAACAGAGTGCCCCATGGTGGTGGTGGGGTTATGGTATGGGCAGGCATAAGCTGCGACAACAAACAAAATGTAATTTTATCGATGGCAATTTGAATGCACAGAGATACCGTGATGAGATCCTGAGGCCCATTGTCGTGCCATTCATCCACCGCCATCACCTCATGTTTCAGCATGATAATGCACAGCCCCGTGTCGCAAGGCTCTGTACACAAATCCTGGAAGCTGAACATGCCCTAGTTCTTCCATGGCCTGCATACTCACCAGACATGTCACCCATTGAGCATGTTTGGGACGCTCACACCAAATAAGGACTGGTTTTCTGATCCACTCCCCTACATTTTTAAGGTATCTGTGACCAACAGATGCATATCTGTATTCTCAGTCATGTGAAATCCATAGATTAGGGCCTAATTAATTTATTTCAATTGACTGATTTCCTAATATAAACTGAAACTCAGTAAAATCTTTGAAATTGTTGCATTTATATTTTTGTTCAGTGTACATAGTAATTACCACACATCTTTGTTAATGACAACATTCCCATACATATACCTGTGAGGATAGAGTCCAAAGAGCTACTTTATTATCCCCTCTGTACACTACTCTACCTGCCACTGGCCTGGCCTGGGAGGCTGCAGACTACGCCACCTTATAGAGACTCATAAATGGGGGTGGGGGTCTGGACATGCCTTAAACCACACATTGAGGTGGAGAAATGGCCAGGAGAAGGTGGTCCCTCCAAGGCAGTCAGTATGAGGGCCAGAGACCAGCAGAGATGAACAATTTACCCAAGGTTAAGTGGGGTAAGGTCAAGCGGGGTAAGGTCTGATTAAATTGTTTTTTCCCCCTCATCAAATCTACACACAATACCCCATATTGCCAAAGCAAAAACAGCTTTTTAGAAATGTTTGCAAATGTACTAAAAATAAACAACTGAAATATCACACTTACGTAAGTATTCAGACCCTTTACTCAGTACTTTGTTGAAGCACCTTTGGCAGCGATTACAGCCTCGAGTCTTCTTGGGTATGACGCTACAAGCTAGGCACACCTGTATTTAGGGAGTTTCTCCCATTCTTCTCTGCAGATCCTCTCAAGCTCTGTCAGGTTGGATGGGGAGCTTCGCTGCACAGCTTTTTTCAGCTCTTTCCAGAGATGTTTGATCGGGTTCAAGTCCGGGCTCTGGCTGGGGCACTCAAGGACATTCAGAGACTTGTCCCGAAGCCACTCTTGCGTTGTCTTGGCTGTGTGCTCAGGGTCGTTGTCCTGTTGGAAGGTGAAACTTTGCCCCAGTCTGAGGTCCTGAATGCTCTGGAGCAGGTTTTCATCAAGGATCTCTCTGTACTTTGCTCCGTTTCATATTTCCCTCGATCCTGACTAGTTTCCCAGTCCCTGCCGCTGAAAAACATCCCCACAGCATGATGCTGCCACCACCACGCTTCGCCGTAGGGATGGTGCCAGGTTTCCTCCAGACGTGACGCTTAGCATTCAGGCCAAAGAGTTCAATCTTGGTTTCATCAGACCACAGAATCTTGTTTCTCATGGTCTGAGAGTCCTTAAGGTTCCTTTTGGCAAACTCCAAGCGGGTTGTCATGTGCCTTTTACAAGGGAGTGGCTTCCGTCTGGCCACTCTACTATAAAGGCCTGATTGGTGGAGTGCTGCAGAGATCGTTGTCCTTCTGGAAGGTTCTCCCATCTTCACAGATGAACTCTGGAGCTCTGTCAGTGACCATCTGGTTCATGATCACCTCCCTGACCAAGGCCCTTCTCCCCCGATTGCTCAGTTTGGCAGGGCGGCCAGCTCTAGGAATAGTCTTGGTGGTTCCAAACTTCTTCCATTTAAGAATGATGGAGGCCACTGTGTTCCTGGGGACCTTTAATGCTGCAGAAATGTTTTGGTACCCTTCCCCAGATCTGTTCCTCGATATAATTCTGTCTCGGAGCTCTACAGACAATTTCTTCAACCTCATGGCTTTGTTTATGCTCTGACATACACTGTCAATTGTTGGACCTTATATAGACAGGTGTGTGCCTTTCCAAAATGATGTCCAATCAATTGAATTTACCACAGGTGGACTCCAATCAAGTTGTAGAAACATCAAGGATGATCAATGGAAACAGGATGCACCTGAACTCAATTTCGAGTCTCATAGCAAAGGGTCTGAATACTTATGTAAATAAGGTATTTAAAAATAAATAATAATAATAATACACTTACAAAAATTGTTATAGGGGTTTCTAAGGGGTGGTTTTAGATGCTGTTTGTAAAAGGTGTTTTAGACCATCACGACTTTTGCACTCTGTGCCCTACCAGAGACTATAATAAAGGCTATTTAACTATTTAAGTGTAACAGGTATTATAAGGGATGTTGTTGGGCATCGTGACTCCTGCAGGTTGTTATAGTGTTATAAAAAAAGAGTGTTGTCAGGACTCTCCTACCAGAGGCCGCCAGCATCAGCTCTTCACTGAATGATACACTCTTTCTCAACACGTACCCCTCTGATTGGACAGAGGGGAGAGGGGGCAGGGTGTTGGCTTGGGGGCAGACCCAAGGAGGAAGGAGCTGGGAGTCGGAGGAGAGGGCAGGGGAACTGGGACAGAGGAAGATCCCAGGACGGGAGACAAACCTCTCTTGGGAGGTCGTCACTGTTGGGCAGAGTAAAAGGTGAGGAGAGCGAGAGAGCGAACGAGAGAGAGAGCGAGAAAGGGGAGGAGGAGAAGAGGGGGAGAGAGAGCGAGGCAGGAGGTGGGGAGAGGAGAGAGGTGAGCCAGAAAACAAGGGGAAAAGAAGAAGACAGCAAGAAAAGCAGAGAAGAAAGTGACAGTGGAGGAAAGTCACAAGACCTTAAATCTGACAGGAAAACATAAAATAAAAATCCTTTAGGAAGAAGGGAGTAGGGGAAGAGAGGAAGAAAGGGGGGTTTGCAGGGTGTATTTCCGCCGGTAGGGGGAACCCTGTCCTGTCCTAGGGGGTGTGTGTGTTTTTACGTGGTCAACACCAGAACTCTATGGTCCACAGCTGCTGTGTGTGCGTTTCTAACACAATGACTTGAAAAAAATCAAAAAAATCAATAAAACAATGAAATGGGATGGAAAACTTAAACACAGTGAGGTTCAGAGGTGGGGGGTGAGGAAAGGTGCAGACAGAGAGTGTGAGGAAGGGTGAGGAGGGTGGTGAGGTCTTACCCATCTTGGGCGTCAGACTGAGGTCTGTGTCTGAGGAGGAGGACTGGCGACTGCATGGCTTGGATGAAGAGAAGGGAGGAGGAGAGGAGGAGGAGGAAGGGAGGGTTCTGAGAGGGGTGGGAGGGACGGAGAGGGGGTGGGGTGGGTCCTCACTGAACACGGGCCTGCCAGGAGAACACACACATCAGTCACCTATATCTGTGTGTGTGTGTGTGTGTGTGTGTCAAAGAGAGATGCTTTGCTGATAGGTGTGTGTGAGGTGTGTGGACTGCAAATGACTGGGCTGCGGAACTAAAAAGCCAAGCACATGAAGCGTAAACAGAAACACACACAGATATATCCAACTGAGGAGGAAAGCATGGCAGAAACACACAACACAACATGGGCCAAGCCAACAACACCAAAGGGATGAGTAGTTTCTTGAATTGGAATTTCAATTAACTTCCAACATAAACAGAATTGAAAAGGAATTGAGCCCAACAGACTCCTGGATGACTGCCCCTTGGAGACAAATGAAGTTGATTGAACTGAACTGGACTAAGAGGGGTGCTTAACATTAAAACAGAATTTAATGAATATTCAAACATTTATTGAACTTAATAGGAAATCAACTAAATTGCATTAATTTGCTCAAGTTAATCATAAGACATGAACGAAATGCATCAGTGATTCGTATTTTTCTGCAACTTTCTGAAACGGCACAGGAATGCACGTCTGTGTGTATGTGTGCAGTGCGCGCATATGTCTACACTTTGTGTAGCCATTAGCGATGAAGCTAATCAGAACAATCTTCTGGTAGAGATGGAAAGGCTTTCCCAAAAACCTTCTTAATTAAACTACAAAGTTGCCTACCTGGAAGAATAATATCATGATTATTTAAATCAATCCAGTAGCCATTTGTTTTGCAAACTCTGCAATCACATGAGCGCTACAGAAACACCGTTAACCAAACAATGGTCTCTTCCTGGTTCGCACTTGCATTAAAGGGTAAGTACACACAAAAATCGAAATGTTAAATTTTTCCCAGACCTCAAAAGTGTTCTCCTGATGTGGTTTAAACATTGTTGTGGACTTACAACATCCAATGTTGTTGTTTTCCTATTTTTAAAAAAAGTTAGATTTTGTGAGCGGAATTTGAGAAAAAACTACACGGAATCAGGCAAAATTAGGTCCTAGGTACTGAGGACAGGTGGAAGGGATGGATCTGCTTGGGTGGATATCTTAAGTCTTACAATGGGTTGGCTCTGCCTGTAGGGGCTCTATTATTGGCTGAGGGGGACATAGGAAGAGGAAGCATTTGGGACTGGTGATGTCCCAAATGGTGATGTCCCAAAAAGATGTTATTATTATTATTATTATTATTATTATTATTATTATTATTATGTCACAATCTTCTCATCCAATGGCAAGGAAGAATGGGCTCTGAGGGTTACTTTTTTTGGGGGGGAGAGGGTGGTAACTATCTCATCGATATCTATCCATTAGTTTCTCTGTCCCATGCTCTATTGCTCTGGCTCTCCATTACCCCACAGTTTACCTATCTCTTTTATGTCAGTCTCCTTATTTCTCTTTTATAATCTCTCCCTTTCTATGTATGAGTGAAGACCCATGTAGGAACACAGAGGTTCTCTCTTTCTAACCCTCCCTCCCAGTGAAGAGCCTTCCCGCTCTCCCTCCCTCCTTCCCTCTCTCGCTATTTTTCTCTGTCCGTACCAGTAAAGACCAGAGTAGGGACAGAGACAGAGAAGTTCTGGGAGTGGGACAGTCTCTGAGAGCTGCAGGCTGAGTGGACAGGGCTGTTGTGGCTGGAGCGACATCCGTGGGCCAGAGGAGACCTGAACCAATCACCATGTAGAGACGGACAGTGGACCAATCCAAACGCATACATCAAGAGAAGAGCCAATCCATGTGCAGCAGAGGCAGAGAAGAAGAGAAACACAACAACAACACACCACAACATTGCAGCAAAGAAAAATAGAGCACAAGAAAAGACAATAAAAAATAAAGAGGAGAGGTTGTCTACCCCCTCCTTTTGCATTTTAACACCCACCTACATGCTGCAGCTAAAGAAAATGCTTGCACCGGCACCCACCCTACCTTCTTTTATCCCTCCATTCATCCATCCCCCCCTTCTCCCTTCCTCCGACCATACTAGCAGGAACAAGCTCATGCACAGCCCTCAGACACACACACAGTCAAACAAGAGAGAGAATGTGAAAGAGCAGGAGAGAGCAGCACTAACATGCAAATGCACAGAGAGTAGAGCCATTTGAAAACAGACAGATACAGCATATACTATAGCTATGTCACATGATATAATACACACACACACCAAATGTGACATGCCGTCTCAAAGGGGCCGTTTGACGCTAGTTCCTACTTTTTTACATTTTAGTCATTTAGCAGACGCTCTTATCCAGAGCGACTTACAGTTAGTGAGCGCTATATATACATTTTTTTTTGTGCAGTAATGCCTTCTTGAACATGTCAACTTTCATGTGCCTTAATTACAAACTTGTATGGAATCTGTAAATATGAATAAAATGTAAACTTATGAAACTAGTTTAGCCAAGGAGAAACCACTGAGCTATATAGGGAGAAAGACAAGATCTTTCCTGGCTAGCCATGATTGTTCTGGGATTCATCGGTTGGCATTGAGGAGTTTACCACATCAGTCACCGGCTTCATTAATAAGTGCATCAACGACGTCCTCCCCACAGTGACCGTATGTACGTGTCCCAACCAGAAGCCATGGATTACAGGCAACATCCACAATGAGCTAAAAGGCTAGAGCTGCCACGTTCAGGGAGTGTGACACTAACCCGGACGCTTTTTATAAACCTGGTACACCCTCAGACGAACCACCAAACAGGCAAAGCGTCAATACAGGACAAGGATCCAATCCTACTACACCGGCTCTGACGCTCGTTGGATGTGGCAGGGCTTGCAAACTATCACAGATTACAAAGGGAAACCCAGCCACGAGCTGCCATGTGACACAAGCCTACCAGACAAGCTAAATGCCTTCTATGCTCTCTTCGAGGCAAGCAACACTGAACCATGCGTGACAGCACCAGCTGTTCCGGACAACTGTGTAATCATGCTCTCCGTAGCCAATGTGAGTAAGACCTTTAAACAAGTTAACATTCAAAAGGCAGATTACCAGGACGTGTACTAAGAGCATGCGCTGACCAGCTGGCAAGCGTCTTCACTGAAATGTTCAACCTCTCCCGGACCCAGTCTGTAATACCTGTTTCAAGCAGACCACCACAGTCCCTGTGCCCAAGAACGCCAAGGTAACCTGTCTAAATGACTATCGCCCTGTAGCACTCACATCTGTAGCCATGAAATGCTTTTAAAGGCTGGTTATGGCTCACATCAACACCATCATCTCAGACACCCTGGACCCACTCCACATCGCATACCACCACTACAGATGACGCAATCTCTATTGCACGCCACACTGCCCTTTCCCACTTGGCCAAAAGGAACACCTACGTGAGAATGCTGTTCATTGACTACAGCTCAGCGTTCAACACCATAGTGCCCTCGAAGCTCATCACTAAGCTAAGGTCCCTGGGACTGAACACCTCCCTCTGCAACGCGATCCTGGATTTCCTGAGGGTAGGCAACAACACATCCGGCACACTGACCCTCAACACGGGGGCCCTCAGGGGTGCATCACTGGGGCCGAGCTCCCTGCCATCCAGGACCTTTATACCAAAGACTTCAGCCACCCAAAGCCACAGACTGTTCTCTCTGAAACCACACGGCAAACGGTACCAATGCAGTCTGGGACCAACGAGACCCTGAACAGCTTCTACCCCCAAGCCATAAGACTTCTAAACAAGACTGCTAAATGGCTAATCAAATGGCTACCCAGACTACCTGCATTGACCCTTTTTTGCACTCTCTCTCTTGCACCGACTATGCACACACACTGGACTCACACAGACTTACACTGACACCCCAACACACACATACACACATAACATGCACACAAATGCATACTGATGCCACACAATCACACACACACCTTATTTTTATTCGTTATTCACTGTGTATTTATTCCTTGTGTCACTATTTATATTTTTTTATTTTATCTTTAACTCTGCATTTTTGGAAATTGACCCGTAAGTAAGCATTTCACTGTTAGTCTACACCTGTTGTCTACGAAGCATGTGACAAATACAATAATAAATACAATAAGATTATGTCAATTTGACATAAGCCCCCATTGGGAAATCTGGTCACAAATGTAGAGACAGAAATACTGAGACACACACAGGAGTCAGTCCAAAGGCAGGACACGAACACATACACACACACTCTCTCCCTTTCTTGCTCTCTCTCTCTCTCTCTCTCACACACACACACAAACACACAGGCTCCATGCTCATGCGGTCGTTCAATACTCACTCTTTGCTTTCCTTGGAGGGGGAGTTGCAGGCATTGGATGCCGGGGCGGTGTTGGGTTGTGTGGTGGTGTTGGAAGCGGTCCCAGGGATGAGTTTGTCCAGAGTGCAGGCGGTGCCGATGGCTCGGACCACCAGACCTGACTCTCCCTCCAGATCAAAGCATTGCAGGTAGCCCACCACCGCATTACCACCCATCTCCAACACCTTCAGACCTATCTTCCTCTGCAGCTCACCTACACACACACACACACGCCTCGTTAGAAGCCCTTGGCGTTCTGATGTAATATACTGTAATACTGTAATACTATAGAATAGTTATATAGTGTAATATATATATACTGTAGAGAGAGTTAGATAGCTGGATTGTGTACCAGACATGAGGGAGATGAGTCGCTGGCGGGCCTCGTTAGAAGCCCTGGGTGTTCTGATGCGGTCGATCCACTGGTACTCCGGGTCCTCGTTAACCACCAGCTCCTCAACAAAGCCATGGACCAGTGCTGCGCGGTAACACCTCGGGATGGATGTTGCTAACACACAGAGACACGCATAAACACCTTATCATCATCATTCATTTCTTGTCACTAGACCTCTCTACTATAGTACATCCCCATAGTGAACCAGACTCACTGCAGAAGAACTTGACCCCACAGGAGGACTGTCTGAAGCGGTTTAGGTCGTTGAAGAGGTCCACCTTCACCAGAACATTAATCTCCCCTCTTATACCTATAGGAGAGGACAGAATGAACAGAAACACTACTACCAGACATAAACACCACCTAACCCTAGAAACCCCAACTCTTCACTAACACGTTCCTCTCCCCTCTCAAACCAGGAAGACAGGAGCTACATCATCACTACCAGACAGACACAGTTAAATAACAGCTTTTAGTAAGGCAGTGTTTTTACAGCAGAGAGGAACAACATGCATTTACAGGCTGTTACACAGAGAACACTGTGTATTCCTTTAGAGGCCTGGCTATGTATCTGAAAAGTACCACTGTGGCCATGCACCGTTGATGGGGAAGTATATAACTTGTGCCATAGATGGGGGGGGAAGTATATAACAGACTCAGCGTATAGTGGCGTAGAAACGCAACATGTAAAGTGTTGGTCCCATGTTTCATGAGCTGAAATAAAAGATCCCAGAAATGTTCCAGACGCACAAAAAGCATATTTCTCTCAAATTTGGTTCACAAATTTGTTACATCCCTGTTAGTGAGCATTTCTCCTTTGCCAACATAATCCATCCACCTGACAGGTGTGACATATAAAGAACCTGATTAAACAGCATGATCATTACACAGGTGCACATTGTGCTGGGGACAATAAAAGGCCCCTCTAAAATGTGCAGTTTTGCCACACAACACAATTCCACAGATGTCTCAAGTTTTGAGGGAGTGCGCAATTGGAATGTTGACTGCAGGAATGTCCACCAGGGCTGTTGCCAGAGAATTGAATGTTCATTGATCAACCATAATTTTTTAGAATTTGGCAGCACGTCCAACCAGCTTCACAACCGCAGACTACGTGTATGGCGTCCTGTGGGCGAGCGGTTTGCTGATGTCAACGTTGTGAACAGAGTGCCCCATGGTGGCGGTGGGGTTATGGTATAGGCAGGCATAAGCTACGAACAGCGAACACAATTGCATTTTATCGATGTCTAGTTGAATGCAGAGAGATACCGTGACGAGATCCTGAGGCCCATTGTGGGGCCCATTTTCTTTAAGGTATCTGTGACAATCAGATGTATATCTGTATTCCCAGTCATGTGAAATCCATAGATTAGGGCCTAATTTCTTTATTTAAATTGACTGATTTCCTTATATGAAGTTTAACTCAGTAAAATCTTAGAAATTACTGCATGTTGCGTTTATATTTTTGTTCAGTATCTATAAGAAACGCACCGTGTATAGTGTCGTAGATGGGGAACCATCCAGAGATGACGGTAGCAGCCTCGCTGGACAGCAGTGGGTCGATGTCAATGTAGACCTTTCCTATTGCGTCGTTGGCACTGTAAGTGTCATGGTCCAACACTGTGATCTGTAAAGGCTCATCCTGCAAATCCTCATCATCCACCTAGAGGAGGGGGGACAATAAAGTTGGGGAAACAAGAATACAGGACTATCATGTTGACACTACAGGGTTCGCCCCAGGATTTTTTAACAAGGTGGTGCTGCGGAGTACGGCCGGCGGGATACCCGGAGGGAGGTAGAATTTTTTTTAACACATGTAACTGACATTTCCTGCAATCTAGAGCAAAAATGGCAAATAAAGTTGTTGTTTTTATATTGTGGCGCAGCCAGTCCACAAGGTGGCGCAGCGCCCCTCTTACAATCTTTGGGGAGAACCCTGCCCTAGCTTCTTTACCCTGTAATCCTATGCCATTCACAAACACCTCCCTTCAAAGAGAAATAAGTCAAGAAGTCATATCCAGACATTTTACCTCAAATTTGAACCACTCTGAGTTCCACTGTGGGTTAAGGGACTTGGGGTAGACATCTGTTTTGAAAGTTGTGTTGCCAAACTTGACCTGTAAGACACAACATCAATGAAGAACACCACAAGGCTAGTACTGCAGCACTGTAACACAGTATATGTGTTGAAAGAGTTGTAAGATTACGTTGACCTGATGTTTTTTTCAAAGTAAACTGAGAATGGACCATGCACACCTCTACGAAGGCATCAGTGAGGTCGCTGGCTCTGTCCATGACGGGTAAGTGACGTCCCGCCACAATCTTAGCTTTCAGCTTCCCCGGCATGATTCAGCTTTGTCTTCACCTGCAGATGCAAGAATTAAAGGTAAATCATTTCATTACTACAATACCAACATTGTGTATTTGACCTGTATTCACCAGATCATGATAAAATATGAATTGATTAATGAGCTAACAAATCTAAGGTCACACTGCAGTTGTGGCTACTGAGTAGAAGGCTGATACTAGTCCGGCTTGGCCCTGACATGGGCACGTGGTCAGGTGACATATGTTGGTGACAGTTAAGCCATAGAGATTGACATACAGCAGGCACCAGCAAAACAACACATTCTGGCCATGTACCTAGCTAATGCACTTCCCAACAGTGGTCGCTCTACATTAATCTTAATCTTATTAAATGTAACTTTACTTGTTTCATTAACATTACTGTAATATGCAAGACAAGTTAGCTAACTGGTTTATAGAACTAGGTTACTTAGATGACAGACTTAGCTAGCCAACTACTGATTCTGCTAATTAGCTAGTTAAGTAATTGAGGGCTTATTACAAAAGTCAGACAGTTAGTTTAGCTAGATGTAAGCTGGCGTTACTGCATTGCAGTTGACTGACATGCATGCATAGCTAGATAACGTTACCCCCTGTATTTCTGTGCGACTGGGTCGCCACACAACATTGACATGATGACATCTAACTATGTTACATACAGCATAACACAACATGTATAACAAACTGGCTATGTTATTAGACGTCATTGAGTGTCCTTACCAGGACTATGTCATACGAGATAGCAGGGGAAACAGCAGCGTTTTTTCAGCCGGACTTTGTTGACAGCCCGCGCGCCAGACCTCCGCTTCTCTCCCAAACATGACGAGAGATCTTCTCTCAAAGGCCCGGTAAATGTGGCTAATATTTACTCTAACGACGCTATATGTCCATTTACTGCTTTAAAAAAGCTAAGCTAATTCATATTTCAAATTCACTATACACACACACATTGCGGTTAGCATCCCGGGCCAACTCAACGAATGGAAATGCTAGGTAGCGCTGTGTTCTCTTCCGGTGGAAAGGTGGTCAGCAAATCTTGATCGCGAGATGTAAAACTGTAACACCGGCTTCAGCAATCACTGTGGTATTTTTCTCATACTTAGCCCAACTGACCACAAGATGGCGCTATTATTCCTTTTACGTCGTTTGTAATCTTACCTCACACTTCACTGTGGCCAGCCAGCAATACACTCGTGTCCCCAATGGACCGGCTCGTACATAAAACATCCTCCATTCAGGCTGCACAGGTGTCCGTTTTCCTCCTTAACTCGATTTAATGGCTTGTTGGTGAGAAAAAACGGGGGAAAGAAGCATACTGTCTTAATAAAACAACATTTTCAACCACCATGCTAGGGTGGCTAATGCTACTTGCTGATGTTGCCAACCATGTTCAACCAGCGGTAAACAACAGACTCAAGAGGGGTGCAACATCCAGAAGTTGTCTGAAAATGGTGGTTGGAAATTGTGTTTTATTAATAAGGGTGTAAACATGTTTTTTTCATCGACGAGTTGAGGAAATCGACGCCTTTGCACCCTGAATGGAGGATGTTTTAAGTACCAGCCGGTCCATGGGGGACAGGAGTGTATTACCTGCTGGCCACATTGGTCAGACGACGTAAAAGGGAATAATAGCGCCATCTTGCGGCCGGTTGGGCTGTCCCATAATGTCAACATGAGGTGAAGTTTGTACAGTAGTAATATGACAGTAGATGTAATATGCACTCAAATAGAAACATATGCATTAGATTTTGCCATATCTCTTATGCCCTTAAAAATTATCCACAATTAGGGAGAGATAGTGTTGTGAATGTGTGCATGTGTGTGTGGCTGTAAGTGTGCAGGTGTGGACGTGTTTAATTATACTTGTGGGGACCAGAAGTCCCCACAAAAATAGTAAACAAACAACAATTTAACCAACTGGGGACATTGGTCAAATGCTATTTCTAGGGGGTTTAGAATCAGTTTTAGGGTTAGGGTTAGGGTTAGGAGCTAGGGTTAGTTTTAGGGTTAGGAGCTAGGGTTAGGTTTAGGGTTAAGGTTAGATTTTAGGGTTAAGGTTAAGGTTAGGTTTTGGGTAAGGGTTAGTATTAGGTTTAGGGTTAGGGAAAATAGGATTTTGAATGGGACTGAATTGTGTGTCCCCACAAGGTTAGTTATACAAGACCGTGTGTGTGTGCCCGTCCTGTTTAATAGGTAGATTTGTCTGAATTAAACCATAAAGCCTTGTTCTTGACACCTGGTTAGTTTGTCCCCGGGGGTGTGTGGGGGGATAGGCTGGTATTTTAATCTCTGAGCACACAGATATCCATAGCATCCTTGGAACCTATTTCCCCCTCCATGCCAAAGACCCGATGGCCGCTATCAAGGTTACATGGCAGGCTGAGTGGCCAAGCTCATTTCCATTTCAGTCTCTCCTTCCCCTCCTAACCCCCACTCCTAGGACTGGATGGCGTTTAGGATACAGAGAATCCCACTAGATTTCCCCCTGTAACACTTGGGTTTCGAAACCGGTCACCCTCCGGTTGGGATTGGATAGGATGAAATTGGGGGAATTGTCTTAGACACACAGTACCTGCTGTATACAAAAATAGACACTGGTCATTACACACTTAACATAATATATACATTGCACATTACCCCTTGTCATACACATTGTACACATCTCATATAGCCACATAATACATTTTGCAAATTTTCCTTACATTCTGTTAGTGGCGTACTAATGTAACATAGCAGGCCTGAGCGGCGTTTCTTTTGTTCTGGTACTGACGAGAAAATAAAAACTATCAGGGGAGGTTATCTTCTGCCCTGTTCAACCAATCCAATAAATGTGGAGGAGGAGTTAAGATGGAGAGTTGCCTTGTTAATGTCCAAAAAGAGAAAGTCGCATCACAGGCTCTCTTACCATTGCCCCTGAAAACCGGAGGCATCTGAATGTTTCCGACCCCGCTGAGGGTGATGGCGTACTAACACAGCTCAGCTTGACATATTGTTGTTTAGGTATTTAATAGACATGGGAATGAAGCTTACATGTAGGGACCCGTATGAACTAACCTGTGCTATGTTGGCATTGTGGACAACCGTAGGCGCGTGTGGTCACCGACAGATTTGGGGTCAAACACCATCTCCTTTGTTTTCTTTACATTAAGGATGAGATGGTGATCATCACACCACTTGACAAACCTTTCAATCTCTGACCTGTACACAGTAGTATCATCTTCTTTTTACAATAGACCAAGAATGGCGGTATCATCTGAAAACAATACAATGTAATTATCAACATGACTGCTGGTGCATTCATTTGTGTACAGTGTGAATAAGATGGGAGACCTCACACAACCCTGTGGGGCCCCAGTGCTAATGTCTCTAGACTCAGAGAGGGTTGCATTAACTCTAACCCGCTGAGTCTGGCCAGTCAGGAATGAGTGGTACCACCTAATGGTGTAGGGGTTCATGCCCATCTGCTTCAACTGGCCCTCATGTTGCAGACCCTTTGTGGCCACATTATGATAGTGTCAGAGTAGTCATTAATGACGGTTTCAAGGCACAGACGCATGCAAGACAAGCTGTTAGTCTAAGCACTGGAGATTGGGCAGGGCTAGATTGGGGCTGGGGAGGGGGCTGGGGCTGGGCTGTGACTGGGTTATTTTGGGCTGGGATACAGGGCTATGAGAGAAGGCTGGGTTCGGTTGGGGTACAGGGCAATGAGAGCACTGAGGCTGGGTATAGCGCAGGGCTGTGGTGAGTCTGTCACCTGTGAATGATCAATGGTGTGGCAGTGGCTGGGTGGGAGACAGATGGAGGAACGGGCAGCAGCATTGTGTTGAGGACAGAGATAGCAGCAGAAAGGTTACTGAATAAATAGAACACAGTGGAACATCTGCTGTTGCCTAAACATAACATACCCCAGGCTCTTACAGTAGACTATGGGAGAATCTCAATTGCATACTCCTTGCGTCCTCTCTCCTCGCCTCCTTCTCAAAGGCTTTCTCATCCAATGGGTTTTGAGAAGGAGGCGAGTAGAGAAGAGAGAGGACGCGAGGAGTATGCAATTGAGATTCTCCCTATATTTACGAAAAAAAAGGTGCTATCTAGAACATAAAAGGGTTCTTCGGCTGTCCCCATAAGATAACCCTTTTTGGTTCCAGGTAGAACCCTTTTGGGTTCCATGTAGGACCCTTTCCACAGAGGGTTCTACATGGAACCCAAAATAGTTCTACGTGGAACCAAAAAGGGTTCTCCCTGAAACCAAAAAGGGTTCTCCTATGGGGACAGGCAAATAACCCTTTTGGAACCTTTTTTCTAAGAGTGTACCTCTCTCCATCTCTATCTCTCACACACATACACTCACTCACTCACCCAAACAGCACGTCTCGATCACACCAGATCATTACAGTAACTTCACTGAATACAATTATAGAGCTGTGTATTGTGTGCTATGGGAATCTGTAACATGAGTTAACAGGCTGAGATTTCCAGTTGATCCCGCGTGATGGACTGATTGATTTACAGCAGTGTCACCAGGTCACAGGAGGGATGGCATGCTTCACACAGGCAGCCAATGCCATTGTTTGGTGTGTGTGTGTACTATATATACCAACCGATGCCTACATGCTTGCATAAAAGCCTTCAGTCCAAAAGAGAGCACCTAACAGTGCAAAACAGGTAGGAGAACATCAGTAGAGGATTTAGTAATTATTATCAATCAAGCAGTCTTATTATTGAGTTGGAAAATGAATTGTACTGATTGGTGGCTAGTTAACGTTAATTTATCATACTCATACCATGAGGGGTTTATGCCTCAACTGTAGTTTTTCAGGGATGTCTCTTTCTGACTATATGTCTCTGATACTAAACAGACTGCTCTCTCTCTCTCTCAAAGGTTCAACAATGGCTGATGAGTAAGTATTGCTTTTTAGAATGTTGTCACATAGGCAGTGTTTATTCAGTCCTAAATAGCTCATTTGTCATATTGAAATGAATGTTTTGTTCAGAAGTGAGTGATGTCCATGCATTCATATGTCTGTCTGTCTGTCTGTGTATCTGTCTGTCTGTCTGTGTGGGTTGGTGGCTTTCTGTCTCTCCCTCCTTAAACTCTAAATGGCCATTGCAGTGATGTAAGTTTTTCGTTAACTCTTTTGAAGTAAATCAAAATTAAATGTTTTGATATGTGTGTGTACTGACTGTGTGTGTGTGTGTGTGTGTGTGTGTGTGTGTGTGTGTTCTCAGAATGCCCCCATGCCCATGGCTCCGAAGGTCGAACACACCAAGGTAGATCTAATGTAATAATTGTCCATCTGTTACAATGGAAATGTGTCTGGAACTCTGCTCCCAACACAACACACAAAGCGCTCCCAACACATCTACAGGTGTTATCAATATCAATGTTAACTCTCCTCTCTTGTTTTACCTCTCTTGTTTTATTTTCAGGGAAAGGTATGACAGGTGTGGGTAGGACTGAGTGGGGTATGCCAGTCATAGAGAGTTTGGCTAATTTTAGAGCTGGATGCCATCTTGCTGCCTCTGAACATTCTATTAATCCAGTCTTAACAAGTATTTGCATTATAATTTTTGCAGTTCAGTTAGCTAGCTTTGTGTAGTTAACATAATAAAATAATATGTGAACTGCTAGGCCACTATTGCCCAGGAGGAAGCAAAATGGCTGCTGTTGAATTATGCTTTTTGGTTGAAACCGCTATGGCCAATCTCTCTATGTTTATGGCTCTGGGATAGACCTGTGTGGGGTAGGGCAGTAGGAATGTGTGGGGTAAGGCCATTGCTCTCAAATATAATGCGTACCGGAACCTACATATAGAGTACCGGCACCCAAAATGAGTACTGGCACCTATTTCAGTCCACCTCAAGCACTGGGTAGGACTGAAGGAATGTGTGGGGTAGGGTTGTGTGGGGTAGGGTTTTGAGGGGTAGGGTTGAGTGGGGTAAAAATGCATGGGGTAGGGTTTTGTGGGTTAAGTCCGTGTGGGTAAGGATTATTGGGGTAGGGTTGTGTGGGGTAGGGTTGTGTGGGATAGAGTTATGTGGGTTAGGGTTGTATATACAGTATTACACTCTTAGAAAAAAAGGTGCTATTTCGAACGGAAAATGGTTATTCGGCTGTCCCCATAGGAGAACCCTTTAAAGAACCCCTTTTGGTTCCAGGTAGAACCCCTTTGGGTTCCATGTAGAACCCTTTCCACGCCGGGTTCTACATGGAACCCAAAAGAGTTCTACCTTGAACCGAAAAAAGTTTGACCTGGAACCAAAAAGGCAGGTCTATTTAAGGAGCAATATCACATATTCCAACTGTTTTGAAAACAAGCAAACTTCTACACTGGCTTCATATAGATGTGGGCCAAATCTAGGACCTTGGAACAGAATGTCACACCCACAACTATTAAACACTATTGTTTAAATTGAATTGATTTGTTTTATTTTCAGCCCAAGTCCAAGATCTCATCCTCCCGCAAGGTGTCACTGAAGGTAACACATGCAAGCATGGACGCACACACACGCACACGCACGCACACACACACACACAAAAGCACCATCTCCTCCACACCGTCAAGCTGCCCATAACAGCTGACACAGAGTAACAGACACACACACCACCTCTCTCCGACCTCCGTTCGTCTACCCCCACCAGACCCTCCTGTTGTCACGTGCATTGGAGGAGCTGGAGGCAGAGAAACAAGCCAGAGAGGAGGAGAAGGTTCGCTACCTGGGAGAGCAGCTCCCGCCCCTGCAGGTGTCTGGCCTGTCCTTGGAGGAGCTGCAGGTGAGTGACAGACACTACAACACATCTGGGAGGAGCATGAAGAACTACAGACTACAGAGGTACTTTACCATTAGAAATAAGTTGCTACCTTCCGAGTAGCTCAGCGGTCTAAGGCACTGCATTGCAGTGCTTGAGGCGTCGCTACAGACCCGGGTTTGATTCCAGGCTGTCTCATAGCCGGCCGTGACCGGGAGACCCATGAGGTGGCGCACAATTGGCCTAGCGTCGTCCGGGTTAGGGGAGGGTTTGGCCGGCCGGGACTTCCTTGTCCCATCGCGACCTAACGACTCCTTGTGGCGGGCCGGATACCTGCAAGCTGACTTCGGTCGCCAGCTGGTGCGGCTGACTTCCGGGTTAAGCGAGCAGTGTGTCAAGAAGCAGTGCGGCTTGGCAGGGTCGTGTTTCGGAGGACGCATGGCTCTCGACCTTCGCCTCTCCCTAGTCTGTAGGGGAGTGGCAGCGATGGGACAAGACTGTAACTACCAATTGGATATCACGAAATTGGGGAGAAAAAAGGTGTAGAAGTACCACAAAAAAATTAAACATAAAATAAGGGCTAAATGTATACTGTGTGTGTGTGTGTGTTGTAGAAACTGTGTAAGCAGCTCCATGCCAGGATTGACCAAGTGGATGAGGAGCGCTACGACTGTGAGGCCAAAGTCTACAAGAACGGCAAAGACGTATGAAACCACTTAACATTTTAAGACACCTACAGTACTACACACATTCACACTTATTTAAACAAACATCAATCATCCATCATGTAATTGATCATCATCATTTTATTAGTTTAATGTCAGGGACCATGTACAACAAATATTGTACCAGATCTGAAATCATCTGATCCCTCTCCCCACTGCAGATCCATGAGTTGAAGCTGAAGGTGATGGACATGGGGGGTAAGTTTAAGAAGCCAGCTCTGAGGAAGGTCAGAGTGTCAGCAGAAGAGATGATGAGAGCACTGCTGGGCACCAAACACAAAGAACACATGGACCTCCGATCCAACCTCAAGTCTGTCAAGAAAGAGGACATCAAACAGGAAAAGGTGAGCAAATTAACCTACAGACAGACAGACAGACATATAGGCAGACATAGAATACAGACACAGACAAGCAAAACTGGGATCTAACAATAAGCTAGCTGATTAATTGATTCTGGCCAGCTAGGACTGGTTTGATGCGGTTATTTCTGGTCTGATGTGGTCTTGTTTGCCCCCGGCAGGAGGGAAACCTGGAAGTGGGAGACTGGAGGAAGAACGTGGAGGCCATGTCTGGCATGGAGGGCAGGAAGAAGATGTTCGATGCTGGCGGTGGCCAATAAGAAGGTTCCTCAGGACATGGGGGCGGGGACACTGACTTCCATGACACTGAGAAGTAAAAAAATGTAGGAGAGAGAAGAGAGGAAAGAGAGTGGAGATAGTGGGAGGGACTGGGAAAACCCCTGTGTCTCTGACTGAACTAAACTAAAGGTGCACAACTCAGGTCCTAAACCAGGGCTTTTAGACACCACACGTCACACTTCTGAGTCTCTATGTCAACGGTATTGCTGCTGTAGAGTTCATGTTGCCTGCTGCAGATTAGAGCATCAAATCACTACTGTATTTAGTCTAACCAATGTTTTCTCAAGTAGTATAATTTTTTTAAATCAAGTTAAGTTTAAGGAATGTGAATATACTAAACTGCCCAATGTTATTGTTATTTGTAAAAAGTCATAAACTTGTAAATAGTAATTGTGTTCTATTTGACTTAGCCTACACATACTGACTTGTCTGTAGTATCATAGCCAAATGAAATTACATAACCCAAAAACAGATTAAATATCACTGTAATTCAAAAACCGAAGATTGTATGTATGAATGTTTGACAGCCAGTTGCACAACATGCTATAGCACCACTATTATAGACTACTGTACATAATGAGGTGTTTTACTATATTATCAACATAGTAGATTTACACCTGTGGTATCTCATGAGTCAACAAAACAATTAGATGCTTAATGTTCTATTTTATGAATTGACTATTTCAATATAACTTTGACACAGTGATGAAGGTACTCTGCATATACCACCACGCAGACAGCTGACAGCATATATCAGTGTGTGGAATGGGATGACCTTGTCCCCAGACATCCTGACAGTAAAAAGGCAGAGGCAGCGTGTTAACCTCTGACCCAGGATATACTTAGCATCTGTTCCTTCCAAGAATTCATTCCACTCTGACAATAAACAATAAACGCCTCACAGACACATCACAGGCGACCTAAAGTATGACATCACTGAACGACCTCGGAGTGACAGGTGAAAGTTGAGATTGAGGGATGGAATCAGAAACACCTCAGGCATGCATTAAACTGAGGCCACCAGAGGTGGAACACAGGTGTGTGTGTGTGTGTGTGTGTATGTGTCTGTGCGTGTTGGCTCGCTCGCTCTTTTTGTGTGTATATGTACAGATTTAAAAAAATACTTGCTCACTCAGAATACTTTTTTTGCACATTTGTGCAACCAAACTTCAAACAAACGTATTATAACATCATGTTGGATTAAAAAGTAGGAACATCAAACTGTAAACTCTCTCTTTATTTATTGCTAAGATGAAAGTAGACCCATTCAGCTGCTCTGACTGAGTGTATATTGTCGCATTCAGCTGCTCTGACTGAGTGTATATTGTCGCATTCAGCTGCTCTGACTGAGTGTATATTGTCGCATTCAGCTGCTCTGACTGAGTGTGAATTGTCGCATTCAGCTGCTCTGACTGAGTGTATATTGTCGCATTCAGTGTAGTTTTAGACTATTTAGACTATTTACTAGTTCGATATCAGCAATATTTCACAATAAAGAGTTTATGCATTGGCACAACAATACAAATCTTTGCACAAAAACAAGAAAAGCCTTGTTCAATAACAACTAATTCACCACAATCTACTGATCTAAAGTGCTAAACTCATTATGTACAGAAGCAGTGGCCAGGTATATGTTTTATTTGATTCAGTGTAGTTTTACACATACTGTGGGGAGAACAAGCATTTGATACACTGCCGATTTTGCAGGTTTTCCTACTTACAAAGCATGTAGAGGTCTGTCATTTTTATCATAGGTACACTTCAACTGTGAGAGATGGAATCTAAAAATCCAGAAAATCACAATGTATGATTTTTAAGTAATTAATTTGTATTTTATTGCATGACATAAGCATTTGATCACCTACCAACCAGTAAGAATTCCGGCTCTCACAGACCTGTTCGTTTTTCTTTAAGAAGCCCTCCTGTTCTCCACTCATTACCTGTAATAACTGCACCTGTTTGAACTCGTTACCTGTATAAAAGACCCCTGTCCACACACTCAATCAAACAGACTCCAACCTCTCCACAATGGCCAAGACCAGAGAGCTGTGTAAGGACATCAGGGATAAAATTGTAGACCTGCACAAGGCTGGGATGGGCTACAGGACAATAGGCAAGCAGCTTGGTGAGAAGGCAACTACTGTTGGCGCAATTATTAGAAAATGGAAGAAGTTCAAGATGACGGTCAATCACCCTCGGTCTGGGCTCCATGCAAGATCTCACCTCGTGGGGCATCAATGATCATGAGGAAGGTGAGGGATCAGCCCAGAACTACACGGCAGGACCTGGTCAATGACCTGAAGAGAGCTGGGACCACAGTCTCAAAGAAAACCATTAGTAACACACTACGCCGTCATCGATTAAAATCCTGCAGGGCACGCAAGGTCCCCCTGCTCAAGCCAGCGCATGTCCAGGCCCATCTGAAGTTTGCCAATGACCATCTGGATGATCCAGAGGAGGAATGGGAGAAGGTCATGTGGTCTGATGAGACAAAAATAGAGTTTTTTAGTCTAAACTCCACTCGCCGTGTTTGGAGGAAGAAGAAGGCTGAGTACAACCCCAAGAACACCATCCCTACTGTGAAGCATGGAGGTGGAAACATCATTCTTTGGGGATGCTTTTCTGCAAAGGGGACAGGACGACTGCACCGTATTGAGGGGAGGATGGATGGGACCATGTATCGCGAGATCTTGGCCAACAACCTCCTTTCCTCAGTAAGAGCATTGAAGATGGGTCGTGGCTGGGTCTTCCAGCATGACAACGACCGGAAACACACAGCCAGGGCAACTAAGGAGTGGCTCCGTAAGAAGCATCTCAAGGTCCTGGAGTGGCCTAGCCAGTCTCCAGACCTGAACCCAATAGAAAATCTTTGGAGGGAGCTGAAAGTCCGTATTGCCCAGCGACAGCCCCGAAACCTGAAGGATCTGGAGAAGGTCTGTATGGAGGAGTGGGCCAAAATCCCTGCTGCAGTGTGTGCAAACCTGGTCAAGACCTACAGGAAATGTATGATCTCTGTAATTGCAAACAAAGGTTTCTGTACCAAATATTAAGTTCTGCTTTTCTGATGTATCAAATACTTATGTCATGCAATAAAATGCAGATTAATTACTTAAAAATCATACAATGTGATTTTCTGGATCAAAAATTACAGACCTCTACATGCTTTGTAAGTAGGAAAACCTGCAAAATCGGCAGTGTATCAAATACTTGTTCTCCCCACTGTATCTGAAGTGTACAGGACAGTTCCATACAAGTTAACATTAGCATTTTCTTTACTTGTGAATTCCATTACTTTTAGTGGCTACTCAATACTCTTTTAGCAGGAAATAATTCATATGAAATACACAAGCATATTAATTAAACATAAAAATGAGTAGCTAGCTAACATTGTAGAAAATATTCATCAGTTAGGTCAGTCAGTGTCTCTCTGAGCCTGTGTTGGAGGCACAGGTGAGCAACCTCTCCAGCCACACTCTGCAGCTCCATGTTCCTGTCTGCAGGACGCAGCATGGCCCTCAGGCTGGCCCAGAACCCCCTGCACTTCTGCTCCTCCACCGGCCACTCCTGGTAGTTCTGCTGCTGCTGCAGGAGTCATGCAGTGCTGTTCCATCTAGTTTGGCAGATGAAAAACACCTGCAGAGGGAGGGCCAGTCCTCTAGTAACGTTTTGTCGAAACTGGTCACAAACCAGTACAAATCACAGTCCCAGGTAAAAGGGTTGTTTCCTGCTTTGTGTTTCCTCAGATTGGGCAGTCCTATGAATGACTCTTGGTGGAAGGAGTTGATGTTGTTGTGGTCCAGGTGTAGCTCTTCCAAGGATGGTAAGTAAAGGTTTTGAGGCATTCTGGTAATTTTGTTTGAACTCAGAGACCGCTCAGGTTCATCAGAGGCAGGAATACATTGTGAATGAGACTCTATCCCTGTCTGTGATAAGTTAAGACTTCTTTACCTAAATAGTGTTTGAGGTGAGAGGGTCAAGAAGGCTTCTCCTTTAACTCAATTCTGTCTGGGCTTAAGTCCAGTAACTCTAGACACTTCATCTGATGGGTTTGGTTGGTGATAGCATAGAGTTTCCTAAACCAGTTTTTTCTCAGGATGAGTTCTCTGAGCCCTGGGAATATAGGGTTGTGTTCACACTCAAAATTCCACAACCCTTCGGTCTGTAGGACCTGTTTAGAGGTCCAACACCTGCAGGTTTGGCAGGCCTGAAATCAGACCGCAGAGCATGAAGTTCATAGCCGTCCCTGAGATCCTCAGCTTTACCAGACCTGAGATCAGACTACGATTGATATATATGTAGATATATACAGTACCAGTCAATGGTTTGGACACACCTACTCATTCAAGGGTTTTTCTTTATTTTTTACTATTTTCTACATTGTAGGATAATAGTGAAGACATCAAAACTATGAAATAACACATATGGAATCATGTAGTAACCAAAAAAGTGTTAAACAAATCAAAATATATTTTATATGAGATTCTTCAAAGTAGCCACCCTTTGCCTTGATGACAGATTTGCATACTCTTAGCATTCTCTCAACCAGCTTCATGAGGTAGTCACCTGGAATGCATTTCAATTAACAGGTGTGCCTTGTTAAAAGTTAATTTGTGGAATTTCTTTCCTTCTTAATGCTTTTGAGCCAATCAGTTGTGTTGTGACAAGTTAGGGGTGGTATACAGAAGATAGCCCTATTTGCTAAAAGACCAAAACCATATTATGGCTCAAATAAGCAAAGAGAAATGGCAGTCCATCATTACCTTAAGACATGAAGGTCAGTCAATCCGGAAAATGTCGAGAACTTTGAAAATGTCTTCAAGTGCAGTCGCAAAAACCATCAAGCGCTATGATGAAACTGGCTCTCATGAGGACCACCACAGGAAAGGAAGGCCCAGAGTTACCTCTGCTGCAGAGGATAAGTTCATTAGAGTTACCAGCCTCAGAAATTGCAGCCCAAATAAATGCTTCACAGAGTTCAAGT